GAAGGAAGATTGAGCAATCTGCTCTGTAGTGATACTGCCTCAGAAGCCAAGGAGGGTTGCTGTGAGTCAGATTCGACTCCACAGCACTGAGTTTGGGTTTTTTTTTTTTTTTTTAGTCTAGAATTAGTTGCTCCTTCAGCTGTTGGACATATTTTCATAGATGTCTCTATTTTGCCATTTCTCTGGTTCTTTTATGCCATTCATACTTCCCTCTTACTTTGACTCTGAGCTCCTAGAGAGTGGGAACCATGTTTATTCATATAAGGGCCATCAGTGTCTAGAACACAGAGGGCACTCAGGGATGCTGAAGGAGTTAGCATAAAGATGTCTGCCATATCATATGCTGTTAAGAGTGACTGCAGGGGTAACTGATGAAGAATGCAATCCATATGATCAGAATGGCTTTAGTTAAAAAGACATAATCAGCATATCTGTATTACTGAAGACTCTACTGGTAATGTTGGCAAATATGAAGAGTTGGCAAAATTGGTCCAAGAAAATTTTATGTCCTGTGGAGCAAGCTGGAACCACCCCTACCCCAAAAAAGGGAGCTCTGGTGGCTTCATGCCTAAGGCATTTGACTGCTAACCAGAAGGCTGGTGGTTGAAACTCACCAGCCACTCTGTGGAAGGAAGACTGGGCAATCTACTTCTGTAAAGATTTACTGCCTTGGAAACCCAAAGAGAGTTGCTATGAGTCAGAAGACCATTCTCTGGAGAAAGATGTCATGCTTGGTAAAGTGGAGGGTCAACAAGAGAGGGGAAGGCCTTCAAAAAGATGGCCTGACACAGTGGCTGCAATGGTGGGCTCAGATACAGCAGAGATCATGAGGCTGGCACAGGACCAGGCGGTGTTTCATTCTGTTGCACATAAAGTCTCTGTGAATTGGAGACAACTCAGTGGCACCTAACAAAACAACAGAGCAAGCCTGAGGTGTCCTGGTGGCACAGTGCTTAGGTGCTTGGCTCTTAACTGATAGATTAGTGGTTTGAACCTGCCCAGCAGTTCCACGGATGGAAGATCTGGCTATCTGCTCCTATAAAGATTACAGCCTAGGAAACCCCATGGGGCAATTCTACTCTATCTCCTGGAGACACTATGAGTCAAAATAGACTCGACAGCATTCAAGGACCACAACACAGCAAGCCTGAGTTTGTCAGAACATCCATTGATCTGACTGAAATCCTCTTTAAAGTAAAATAATGTTTGCTTATACACCAGAGCACCCATCAGAACATATACTGCTCATGTCCAAGAGGTGAAAGTTCAACAGTGTAGTTCAATAGCTGTGAAATAAGTACCCCCTAAGATTGAAGACTGGAAAGATGGCTTGGAAGAGGAGCTGAGAGGAAAAATATTTTGAGGAAATGCTGTACCCAAAATGTAGCAGTCTGCATGCTACTCAACCTGGGTCCACAATCGCTGCAGAGATTTTGTTATCTAATGGGCAAGTGTCATGTTTGCTATGAACTAAAAGAATGATGGTGCTGAATTGTATGTTTGAGGAGGTGGAGCATATGATAAATATTTTAAGTGATATAATTTGCCTTTTAGTGTTTGTTTCAAGTCTTCCTCACTAAGATGTATTTTTATAGAAAATGTAATTGTTCTATAAAGGTTCTGAAGGTCATGGATGATGGCTCATTTGTCCCTATTTGGGTGCCTTCTGCTTTATGGGCTTGAGAAATATTTATGAGTAAATAACAGAATTTTGTTGTTTCTCTGTAGCCCCCTGAACACAAACTCCTTACATTATTCTTCAAGTCAGTTTACTATCTCAGACTGCAGGCAGACAGCAGCTGTACCAATGAAGTAAAACAAACAAGGCAACAAAAAGCTGATATAAATAACCCAAATAAGGTGTGGGAATGATATTCAAATTTGACCTCTCCATGAAATTTATCAGTATCAAGGATGACCAAGGAGTAACTATGGAAGTAGGTACTATTTATAGATTTAAAAAAAAAAGTACTAGCAGGTACCACTTCCCATTTTCCAAACCAAACTATAATTTAAAAAATGACAGTGTAGTGCCTCTACTTCCATAGAAAT